TAGTAGCCATGCCATATTATATTAGTGTCCAATATAATGATTCAACATGCATATACCTTACAATGTGGTCACCACACTAAGTCTAGAAGCCATCTGTCACCATACAAAGTTATTACAGTATTGACTATATTCCCTGTGCTGTACACTATATCCCTGTGGCTTATTTATTTTATAGCTGGAATTTTGTTCCTCTTATTCGTCTTAGCATTGTTCACCCATCCCCTATACATTCACCCTTCTAGCAGTCATTAGTTTATTATTTGTATCTGTGAATCTGTTTTTGTATTATGTTTCAGATTCCACATATAAAAGAAATAATAAGATACTTACTTGTATTTCTCTGACTTATTTCACTTAGCGCATCACTCTCTCAATCCATTCATGTTGTAGCAAATGATAAGATTTCATTTTTTTCTGAGTAATGTTCAGTCATATATATATATATATATATATATATATATATATATATATCAAATTTTCATACACACACACACCACTTCTTTATCCATCCATCTAACAATGCACACCCAGGTTTTGCTTCCATATCTTGGATATTGTAAGTAATGCTATAATGAACATGAGGGTGCATATATCTGTTCACATTGCTGTTTTCTTTCTTTTTCTGATAGATTCCCAGAAGTAGAATTGTTGGGTCATATGCTAGTTCTATTTTTAATTAATTTTTTTTTTTTTTTTTTTTTTTTTTTTTTTTAGGAAACTCCATACTGTTTTCAATAGAGGCTACACCATTTTACAATTCCACCAACAGTGCACATCCATTCCCTTTTCTCCTAATTCTTGCCAACACTTGTTGTTTGTTGATTTATTGATCACTAGAGGCCTGGTGCCTGAATTCATGCACAGGTGGGGTTCCTCGGCCTGGCCAACGATCAGGGCCAATTGGGGCCATCTCATCCAGTCCCAATCAGGGTGATAAGGGCCAGCTAGCTTGTGGGGAGGGACCATAGGAGGTTGGCTGTGGGAGTGCACTGACCATCAGGAGCCAGCTCCTGCATTGAGCATCTGTCCCCTGGTGGTCAGTGCACATCATAACATCTGGTCAACTGGTAGATTAGTCAACTGGTCATAACAGTTGTTTGGGCATATATATATATATATATATATATATATATATATATATATATATAGTTAGCCATTCTGACATGGGTGAAGTAATATATTTTTGTGGTTTTGATTTATATTTCCCTGATGATTAGTGATATTGAGCCTCTTATGCCTGTTGGCCATCTGTATGTTTTCTCTGGAGAAATGTCTTTTCATCTGTATATTGTATTGTGTGTACACCCTAAGTCAGGTTTCCATCAATCACCATTTATCCCATCCTACCCTCCTCTACCACCTCTCTAACTCCCCTCTCCCTCGTAATCACCACACTGTTGTCTATGTCCATGACTTTTTTTTCTTACTTTTCTTTTTTGTTCAATCCCTTCACTTATCCCCACCCAGGCCCCAAATTGATGCCCCCTTTATAGCTATCATCCTGCTCTCTACCTATAAGTCTTTCTCTATTTTGCTTTAAATCCCCACTGTGATTGTGGATTTGTCATATTCTTGTAATTCTGTAAATTTTTGTTTTATACATTTGAGGCTCTGTAATTATATGCAAAAGTCTGAAATAGATACATCTTTTATTGTTTTTAGTGACCTATTTTCCTTTTTGTATTTAAAGTCTCCTTTGTCTGATAGAACTTCCTCTGTTTGGATGGTATTCGTTTTTCCATTCTTTTACTCACATTTTTCTTTTTTTTTACAGAAAAATGTTCTGCCAACATAAGTGAATGCATTGACTTATTTCTGAAGTTACCAGCAGGATCTATAATTAGCAGGAAAGATGAGCTTTATATCCCCAAATATGTTTCTTCACCAGCTGTGTTAAATACAATTTTAACTTTTCAGACATTCTTTGGGTTGGTCCATCAATTGTATATTTTACTACATATCTCTCTTTATAAATATATACACACACTCACTTTGTTTTTGCTTAACCATTCGGAAGTAACTTGTAGATACCATGGCACTTCAGCTCTAAACACTTAGGTGTTCATCTCCTAAGAACAGAGGCATTACTATTGTCAACTCAAAGAAATTGAACATTAATTCAACACTGTTATGCAATATACTGTTTGTATCAAAGTTCCCCAATTGTCTTAACAATTTCCTTTATAGTTTTTATTTTTTATGTTATTTTTTAATATATTTTATTGATTTTTTTACAGAGAGGAGGATAGAGGGATAGAGAGCCAGAAACATCGATGAGAGAGAAACATTGATCAGCTAGCTGCCTCTTGCATAACCCCTACCAGGTTGTGCTCGCAACCAAGGTACATGCCCTTGACTGCAATCAAACCTGGGACCCTTCAGTCTGCAGGCCAACACTGTATCCACTGAGCAAAACCATCATTTTAATAGTAGTACTAGTAGTAGCAGGAGTAGCAGTAGCAGTAGTATTTTTATTTTTAAAAGGTCTCACATTTATTACTGAGCCAACCTACTATTGCAGGGAGAAAAATCATGCTTCCAATAATTTACCAATTAAAATGCCCAACTGTTCAGATAGTAGTGATCTTTTCAGTCATTTAAAAGTGCAGGCATGCCGAAACCAGTTTGGCTCAATGGATAGAGTGTAGGTCTGCGGACTGAAAGGTCCCAGGTTCGATTCCGGTTGGGGCATGTACATTGGTTGTGGGCACATCCCCAGTAGGGGGTGTGCAGGAGGCAGCTGTTCGATGTTTCTCTCTCATCGATGTTTCTAGCTCTCTATCCCTCTCCCTTCCTCTCTGTAAACAAATCAATAAAATACATTTTTTTAAAAATAATAAAGGTGCAGGCAACCTGGATACCACAAATATATATAGATCATGTGGAATTCCTTATAGGCCCAGTTTGATTCTTCTCTATTGTCTCCTCTTGTAGTTGTACCTGATTTGATTACCAGTTTTCCACCGAATCTACTGGAGAATGGGCCGATTCTGCTTTTGTTTCTTGGCCAGGAACCTCTTGATCCCAAAAGTCTTGTGAGAAGACATGGTGAAGGAGAATCAACCGCACACACAATGGCAGAGAAAGACAGGAGGAAGCGGAAGGATGTATTTAGTGGCAGTCTGTCCCATTCATTATTGATAATACTAATTTTTTTGGCTTTTTAATGAGCAGTTTTCAGTTCACAGCAAAATTGAGAGGAAGTTACAGAGTTTTCTCATCTTCCCCCTGCCTGTACACATGCATAGCCTGCTCTGTAATCAGCATTGCCCTCCAGAGTGACAAATGATGTCACAACGAATGAGCCTAAATTGACAGATAATTACCCAAAGTCCATAGTTACATTATTGTTCACTCTTTATGCTATATTCTATGGGTAACAACAGTATATAAAGACTTATTCATCATTATAGTATCATACATAGTGTTTCACTTCCCTGAAAATTCTCTGAGAATTATTCATCCCTATTCATCCCTCTCCTCTCAACCCTTGGCAGCCACTGATCTTTTTACTGTCTCTATAGTTTTACCTTTTCTGGAATGTTTTATACTTCGAATTATATAATATGTAACCTGCTCAGAATGGTTTCTTTTGCTTAGTAATATACATTTAAGGTTCCTCCATACCTTTTCATGTCTCGATAGCTCATTTTTTTTTTTTTTTTTTTTTTTTTTTTTTTTTTTTTTTTTAGTACTGCAACCTTCCATTGTCTGACTATACTAATTTTTTTCCATTCACCTGCTCAAAGACAATTTGGTTTCATCTAAGTTTTGGCAATTATGAATAAAGTGCTGTAAACGTTCCTGAGCAGGGGTTTGTGTGGATATAAGTTTTTGATTCCTTTTAGTAAATATCAAAGGACAATTGGTCCTAGCTGGTTTGGCTCAGGGGATAGTGTGTTGGCCTGTGGACGGAAGGATCCCAGGTTTGATTCCAGTCATGGGCACATACCTCAATTGCAGGCTCCGCAGCCCTGGTCAGGGGATGTGTGGGCGGCAACCAATCAATGTGTCTGTCTCATCAATTTTTTCTCTCTCTGTCTCTCCCCCTCCCTTCCAATCTCTCTAAAAATCAATGGGAAAATATCCTTGGGTGAAGATTAAATAAAATAAAATTCAATCTGAAGATATCTTATGAAGAATTCCAGCCCTAGCCAGTTTGGCTGAATGTATAGGGCACCAGTTTGTGGACTGAAGGGTCCCAGGTTTGATTCTGGTCAAGGGAACATGCCAGGGTTGTGGGCTTGATCCCCAGGAGGGGACCTGCAGGAATCAGCCAATCAGTGATTATTTGTCATCATTGGCGTTCCTCTCCCTTTCCTTTCCTCTCTGAAATAAATAAAAAATAATTTTAAAAAAGAAAAATTTCAGCAAAACAGATTTTTTAAAAGCCTATAATGACTAATTTACTGCTTCTATAAAAATAGCAAGAACTTTTTTTAAAAAATAGACATAATTTGGAAACACCTTGTTCTTAATATGGCTATCCTTTGTAAAAATGAGGGGGACTTTTGAAAAATCATATTTCAGCACTACACCTTTTTGGATATTAGATTCTAGTGCTGTTCATTATATTTGGAGATTTTTATTTTCCTACCTGCAAATTGGACTGGATCCAGAATTATTCTTGTTTCCTATAACATCTGCCTGACTTTCCAAACATTTCCAATTTCTCTCCCACCTTTCTGACTTGCAATCATTGAGAATCAAAACTTCCCTTTTCCAAAAGCCATGCAGTTAAAGTGAAGCAACTTAATAGAAACTTCACAGAGTAATCACGACACCTCATACATGGTCTATCTCAATGTCGGTTGCAGAAAAAAATCACCAGAGACATTTATATTGCAATCTATCAGATTGTCTCTCCCTCACCCCTTTACTCCACTTCAAGATTCTTTAACCATTCAGAAATCTTTTTGGCTGGCAACCTTCAGGGATGAGAAACTGGGACTGTACTCTGTGTTGATGAATAACTGTTGCTTATCATTTTGTCTCCATAGGGATGCCTCTTGGTAAATACCAGATTGCTTGTCCCATAGGCCTATCTTTGGAAACCACCTGCATCATAACCTCCTGAAATGAGAGACAACTGATAACTGAACTGTTTCCAAGACTGAGACTGGTTTTAAAACTTATATATAATGATCATGTCCTGATTGGACCTATCCTAAGGCTTCAACATGAAAATTGACACAAATATTGAGCTGAACATAAACTCATATGGCAAGCATGTCTCTTGCCCATACCCCACCCCCTTCACAAGGAACATAACGGACCCAAGAAAGGCATTGTCACCTTGGCATCGAGGGGGTTTAAAATGTTTTGTTTGATCTATGATGGTTTTTGAAAGAAAAATCTTAACCAAAGGGGGGAAAGTAGGAATGGAGTAAAAAATAAAATGGAGTCACTATAATCAAGCTGCTAAGTACTAATATCAAGTG